ATAATCAATCTGCTTATGACATAGCATTCATCGGTCTTTATGAAGATAATGAAGAAGAGGTCATGAAAGCAGCATTAGAGTTAAAAGCATTGGACATGGATAGTAATAGATTAGTTATAATTTTTATAGTATTTCCAAATAATGAAGGAAATGGGTTAGCAAGAAAATTAATCAGGAATTTTGGCGGAATCACCTCTGTCATTTACACTCCAATTACATTAAAAAAATTAGTTAATCAAATTATTTATTTGGAAAAAAACATTGCTACTAATAAAAACAATGCAAATCTACAGACCAACGAAAGTAATGATACAAGTATTCTAAAGCAATTAGCTGACTATAAACTTAATACTGTAAAATTGGAGATGCAGATCATGATTTATATGAAGACATGACTGGATAAGATTTTATTAATTGAATGTAATTTGGTAAGCTTAATTTGTTATTATACTCTCATAATAAAATATTCGCAATTTATTGAATTAATTATTATATTCAGCCAATAATTTCAGGGTTTGATGTTTCACGAGAAATTAGAGCAATAAGACTGCTAATTTTATTTATACCGATTATTTTCCTAACTTCTTTATCTGTGAATGAAATATAAAATGATTTATTTAAGTCAGGAATAAATGATTATCTCACAAAACTACTGAAAACCGATGAACTTGAAAAGTTTGGACTAAGTTGATTGGTAAAAATTATCACTAATCATAATTATAAATTTATGATTCTTATGAATATTATGAGTCTTATATAGATATATTGTTATTAATATAGTAATATGCTTTTAATTTTTTAAGCCTTTTATAAATATTTAAAAGGTGTTTAATTACAACACTACTAAAATGCACCTATGGTGTTGAACACCATAATTGGTTATATCTCAAAAACGTACTAGCTAACACATCTCAGGGGTACTAAGTAAAAATGTTCAGAACCCCTAAAAACCTTATGCTAAACAAAATTTGGTCCTTTATATCTAACCCCTATTTTATTCTGTAACTGCACCCTAACTCTAAATTTTAGTAAAAAACTTATTAACACCATAAACACGATAGATGCATTTTATATTATTTGTTTAATTATATTATCTATATCTTTATTATTATTTATATAATTAATTGCTTTTTGCTTTTTAACTTTAGATAAGAAATTATTAGTTGATCAAATTATTAATAAAAATTGTTAAAAGATCTTTTCTTAATCTTTTAATTTATTAATTGAATAATTAAAATTCAATTATTATACCATATAAATTTTTTATTATAATTTATTGTCAATACTTAGAGTTAAAATTAAGATAATATCAAAAGCTATAGACTAAAAATTAAAAGTCTTTGGGTTTTTGAACAGGTTTACTTAATACATCCGACCTTGTTTATTTAGAAAGTTTTTAAGAAATAGCACTTGTGGTGTTAAATACAACTGGTGTTATTTAGCAATGCTATTAAATTTATAATTTTATTATTGATAATTAATGTTAGTGAGTTATCATTCATCGCCAGTGCGTTGCATCGCTACCCCCTGATCAACCTATCAAGATGCAGGATTAGGTATAACATGAAATCGAAGTGATTGTGTTTTTTAAAAAATCGTGTTTAACTTAAAATTTTTCCTATGAAACTGACAAAATAAATTTCTTGCAAAATTTGGTTTAAAAAAGAGTCTTTTGCTATTACCCTAACCAAACCCTAACATAACTCTAACCAATCGCTATTTGTTTTGTTTTAATTAACGTGAAATCAAATCAAACCAATGTTGGTTAATCAGGTATAGTCTCAGTTTCTTCTTCAGTAATAAATTTTTTCTCAGCATATTCTGCTAATATTTGTTCTACGTGGATTGCTACTTCTTCGTCATAATATTGTTAAATTATATAAACTTTATATTATTATTATTATTATCATTGTTATTTATTTATTATTTATTTATTATATTCATATTTTAAATTATATTCTATATATTCTAATTAATATTTATTTCTATATTGCTGCTTTTCTTTTTCTTTATTTTAT